ATGCTTTCCTTATGGAAGATCCCAAAGTCAATCTTTGACATATCCATGTAGGACTAGAAAAATATTCTGGCATAAGCTCTGGAGGCCTGTGGCCAGTCCGTGTTGACAGTACTGGAGTTAGATGAAATAGCAATAAATAGCAGTAAATATGTGATACCTCAAACATATCTGCCTCACTTCTAGATTTATCAGCATACTTCTAAATTTGCCCTGCATGCACAATAGTTTTGTTTCTTTTTAGCTAACTCTCAGTTCATGAGACTGAGTTGTGTGTTTCACGAAAAATTTCTGTTTGACGAAACTTCTGGGCAATGGGGTGCTAGACTGAAAAGACTAAGCTGTACATTTGATACACCACAGCAGGCAAAATCATCCATCCCTGTTCATCTTCTTAGCCTAGGAGGGGAGCTTGAGCTTGATAAAGACAACGGGAGAGGGTGATCCGGGGTAAGCCTACACAATTTATTATCTGTCAAGGCAAATTGTACTGGGTAAGTCTGTATGGTGGTCCACCCAGATCTAGATGAACCTCGATTTAATACCAGTTTGAGCCCTTGTAAATGGACAGTTCTTCTGAGTTTGAGCTTTAAAAATCATAATGTTTTGCTTGACCTAAATCCATTTTGAAAGGCTTGTTTGTTTATGGCATGTCAGTTTCTTGTCCCATCACAGAGAGAGAGAGAGAGAGAGAGAGAGAGGCTGTGGAAAAGGCACTGTGTTGTTCCTTGGGGTCCTCTGCATTTATCAGAGGTGATTTCCTGATTTAAAGATTAACGGTAATAGCAGGCAATTGCAGTAGACCATAGGCTCCAAGGAAGTGCCATGAATTGTAGAGGACCTAGTTTTTCACTTACTGAGGCTGAATTCAGCCATGTGTGGAGTGACAGTGTTGGAGGAGCTGTATGAGTAGGTAAAATACCAAAACAACTCCTACCTGGTCAGAGGAGCTGATGTGGGGCTGGGGAGGGAACAGAGTGAAGACAGGAAGATCTCCCCCTCTTTTAACCTTTGGAGAAGCATTTAAATGACCCTCGGAATTCTTTCCAGCTCTACCCTTCTGTGATGCTCTGATCTATTTCTGGAGTCAGCACAGACTGTGCTACAGTTTCTTGAAACTACAGGGCTGCACAGGAGTTGTACTGATGTTTTTATGTCTGCTTTTGCTAACCTAGACCCTTCCAAGCATGTTAGATTACAACATCAGAACAACCAGCAGATGTGTTGGATTACAACTCCAGAACTCTGCAGCTGGATATTGCTGTGCTGGTAGGGAGAATTCTCAAAGTGATAGTCTAACACATCTGGAGAATACTAGGTTGAGGAGGGTAACACCTGGAAGATCTGGCCTCTTTCTTGCATGTAGAGCCTTCCTGTGAGTGGGAATGTCCTATTTCTACACTTGCTGTTGATCACCTCAGCAAAATGATGCTGGAAAGGAGCAGCTCTCCCCTTGAAATTGATTGACAAACGTGGCCACTATAATGACTGAATAAGGTATCCTTTGGGTCTGTATGCACTCAGATCCTATTTGAATAATGGGTATGCACTGCAGTGTCAGCTTTTGGACTTGAAAATACAGTTTCTGTACTTCCTTATTTGAAGGCACAGAAAGGAGCAATTTACGATCTGGGTGATTCTGTTCTGGGATTTTCGTTCTTGGACTGTGATTGATCTTTTTCTCATCCAAGCTTCTGCTTCTTTAATTATTCTCTTGTGGATATTGGTCCATGCATATTCTCCCAGGATTCACACATGAAAGATTGATATTAAGTATTCAAATTAGGCGTATTTCTTAAGTGCCGAATTGCCGGGAAGCGAGGTTTTATCTCATACTCTTGCTGAGTATTGTAACAGGAAAGATCAAGGGAGACGAGAAATGTCAGTTGTGCTGTGTGGAGGAACACAGATTTGTAGAAGGATAATGCCGTTTAGTCTCTGGTTTTTGCCCTGGCTAATTCACATGGACCTCTGTTACATGAAACACATCTAGATCATTTGCAGGTAATGTAGGTAAGTGGATGGTCAGAAAGGATTTTTGTGGAATCCAGTGCTCAAATAGGGCACTGAGGTTTTAATGGTTGTAGTACTTAGTTTGAACCATTAGAAGACTTTGATGAATTGTGATCAAGGAACAGGCATAATAACTTCCATGAGGATCCCAGGAGAGATTGTGGAAATTGTCAGTTTCTCTGAGCTGTCTTGAAATGTATGGAGCAGATATATACACCGTCTGCAGAAAAACGGCTTTACAGTAGATGGGGGAAGATAACAATTTTGCATATTCTGACAGAAAACCTTGTGCATCTGTTGTGGATTTCTGTTGTGGAATTCTGCTATTTTCCTCGTACCTCAAAGCCCTGTTCTAGATCCATGTGCAGTATGTAAACACAGGTATGTGAAATACAGGATAATAGTGTCAGCAGACTCCACTTCCATTTGGTGTGTCCCCTGTTTGAATGCCTGCAGACATCAATCACTTTGCATGACTGGGGATGCTGGCAAAACAGGGTTTCTGCATCACAGAGAGACTACATAGAACTTAAGTCACTCACTCACTCTCAACATGATTCACCTCACAATATCCTCTTCATATCCAGTTGTAGGCATTGTTTGCAGACATTTAATAAAAAAAAACAAAACAAAAACCAAAAAGAAACCACAATGGGACCCTCTGTGTATTCAGACAGCCCTGATCTGTGATGAAAATAGAGTTTCTCTGTTAAATAGTCATTACAATATAGTGAGTGGGTATATACATGTTTTTTGCTGAGTTGAAACGCAGAACAAGATCTAAGATCTAAGATCAGTTCAACAACAGAACCAGTGAACTAGAATTGGTGGGAGGGCTCTCTCTTTCTGGATGTCTTCCAACAGAGACCCTTAGTAGCACATAGGAAATCAAGTCTCTAGTCCTCACTGAGCCATGAAATTCACTAGATAAACTTGAGCCAGTCTTTCTCAGTCTGATCTAACTCACAGAGTTGGGGTGAGGCTGAAATGGGTAGGACAGACAAGGATGCAGTTTTGAGCCCACTGTCAGGAAAGTAGCGTGTGAGTGGAACTAACAAATCGACCAGTCAATCTGCTCTGTCTCTGGATTTCCTTCAATAAGCAGAAGATTGAGTGGCCAGTATGTCTCTTCCAATTCTATAATTGGAGTGATCAAAAAGGAACATAGATGACTGTGGTAAGACAGTGTATTGGTGTGTATTGAGATGCTCTGTCTTTCATGTTGACAAGGAAACTGATATATTGCCATGTGATCTGATCTGTTGATCTGTAATAAAGGAAATATATATTGCCGTGGGAATATATTTTGAAAAGGAATTCATGCTGATCTAGGAGCTGACTGAGCATCTCTTTGTTAGCCCCGTGTTTTACACATCCTAGAGTATCTTTATGCATAGAACAGGTTTACCTTGCCTTTCAGTCCCATTCCTCTTGTCTTCCTGCTGTGTCCCTCCTCCTCCTCCACCACCTCCTTCAAAACAGCTAGAGCAGCTTTTGCTTCTCAGCAGATGTTCAAAGAGTGCTTGGGTCTGGACTCGTAGCCCCAGTGCTTAATTTCCTAGATACAGGGTTGCCTCTGGGGACTACAGAGGGACTTGAAAGCACAAGAACGGTCCTGGGAGGACGGGCCCTCCCCCCCCCCCCCCCAAGACACTCTGATCACCAGCCTCAAAGAAATAGCAGGGCGCCTCAGATCATTAACACTGGGCTTAGAAAAGAGCCTTGGGCGTTGACCTATATTTTGTTGACCCTTTCATGCCTGCTGTTGGTGTTTGGGTTTTTAATGTGGTGATAGCAAGGAATGAGGTCTGGGGAAATCATTTTAATCCCCAATCAAAGCGGGCCTCCTGCTCTTCTCTTTCTTTCCTCACTTGCTGCACAGTCTACATTGAAATAACAGGGCCTCTTGAGATTTCCCAGACCTCTGCTGTGACTCCCATCCTGTCTCACCCATTCAGATGGACGCTTAGGTCTAAGAACTTAGCTCTTGGTAATGTCTGTATTTACCCTTCTTTTCTGTTCACCACTGGTTCTAACCCTTTAGTAACTTTAGTAGGAACTGCTTTACTTGTGCAGCATCTGTGTAACCAGTGCCGCAGTGAGCTTATTGTGCTGGTTTTCTCCCAGTTTAGTGCAATTGCTTTCTGCTTCATGCTGTATCGCACTTTGCATATCAAGGATGCTAGTTTTGACTAGCCCTTGTAACACATAGCTTTTGGGTACAGGGGAAGTAGATAGTAGTTCTGAATTCCAGAACTGATCATCTGTTCTTTCTCCTTGTGGTCATCCTGTTGTATAGTCCATGGGCAACTTTCAGCTGGATTTGGATGGAAGGTTCATTTTATTCAGTGCTGGTCTTCAGAATGGTGCTGGCAGTAGTGGGTTTTGGTAGGGACAGAGCTGTTTTCAGTAGCTGGTCATCTTGTTCCCTAATTCCAGACTTCCATGTCATCATCAAAGGGGCTACACCAACACAGTGGTGATTCCCAAGGGGAAAGAATGTTCAGAAGGTGTTGTCCAGTTGCTACAGTTCTTTCTCATTACCGTTCCTCTCTGAACAACACTGTGTGATGACATAGCTTTAAGTAAAGGGCAACGTTCTGTCTAATTTTCATCCTTGCTGCGCGAGTCTTGCCCGTGTGATTGCAGGGACGGGGTTTCAACCCAAACCCAAAAGTAAACAGGCATCGACACTGGCGGCTGCTGCTGCTGCTGCACACGAGCACACACGTACCTTGGAGGGAACCTTGTTAGAAGGGAATGTGAAAGAAAGCTGCAGTCATCTGCGGCCCAGAGGAATGGCACTGAAACAAGATATGATTTTGCATTACCCCTTAGTATATCACCCTTTTGTCAGACTGCCTGCATGCTGATGTGTGAGAATGAGAAGGGAAGATTGAGGAGCCATTTTGGCTTACCTCTCATTCTTTTGCGTGCTAAAGAGGAAGGTGATGGACTTCGAGTTGATAAAGACTATCCTTGTTTTCCAGGTGACTCGTGTGCCAGTGGAGAGCTGTGAGCAGTATACAACCTGTGCACTATGCTTAGGTTCCAGAGACCCTCACTGTGGCTGGTGTGTCCTGCATAATGTGTAAGTATGCAGAATTCTTCTCTTGCATTTCATACATTTTTAGTGAACCCACAAGAACACCCAGTACGTTCAAGAAGCCTCCATTATTATCTCTTGAACAATTAGCTTATTAATTCCACTGGTAACTAGTGTTAAAACACTCACCGAGTACCAATATTATACATAGCACAAAACACAAAAATGGCACAGTTCTTGCCCTGCATGGTCTGCCTGAAACTTACAAGCTATGGCTTGACCAATAAGATGAGAAGAATAATTCAGGCATAGCAAGCGGTATGGCTGAAGGCACAGAGCTGTGAGGAGACAAAAGGGGACCATGAAGCTTGACAGCAGTTGAACTTGTTTATTAATCACAATGCACAGAATTGAGGGCAGTAGGCCACTCACTGTGTGCCACCTGCTGAAGAGAATCAGTAGACGGTTCATGGCTCCCTCTTTTGCTAACCTTTTGTGAGCTGTTTGCAGACACCTCGATGACTACCATATAGAGCATGTTCTGCTTCATAGGAAATCATGTTCTTCAGAAAGGTTCAGATCTTCTTTTTCTGTTGGGGAATTACTAGGTGTCTTTAAGGCAGCCACTATCTCTTTGATCCATCTGGAATTTATAGGTAATAATGCTGATGGTTCTCAGGATTATCTTGGTCAGGTATGATGGGTGGGGAGAGCCTTTGGCTCTCCAGAAGGTTTGGACAAAAACTCGTATTGTCTCTTACCTTTGGCCATGCTGTATTGGGACTGATGGGAGTTGTAGGCCAGAACATCTGGAAGGCCAGAGGTTCAAGATCCCAATATAACGTACATTGAAAACTGAAAAGGCATTGAGGCTTATGCAATAAGTTATAGGTAAGATATATTTCTTACATAGAAATTATTACTTTATAGGAAACTTTGTACAAAGTATGCCGCAGTTGTTCAGATGACATGTTGTACATGTTCTTTATAGGAGAAGTCTCATTTCTCCTTCGTATGACCCATAGTCAGAAATTGTTTGCTTTAAGCTAGAGCAGTGGTTCTTAACGTGGGCGATAATGCCCCCCAGGGGGCGATTTCATTTTTCAGGGGGGCGGTAGAACGAAAAGGGGCAGTGTGGGGGCGCT